TAAACCCTATTACTGGGTGGGGGGTCCACCTAAAGTCTCCTCGATGAGCTCCACTGGAAGCTGACCTTTGCAGGCGATCCATTTCTCTCAGGTATATGGTATTTGCCTCCAGGCCCCTTGTCCGCATTGGAATGGGGGGATTATAGAGGTCCTTAAAGGAGTTATATAGGGGACTATAAAATAATATAGGGTATATGGTATTTGCCTCCAGGCCCCTTGTCCTCATATTGGGACCCAGTTGCCTGGACTTTTGGGAACGCCGGCGCATTCGTGGGAACCTGTATACAACCCCACCTTATAATCCCTATATAACCCATTATAGTAGTTTCCATTTTCTTTTCCATTATCCCTATATAAACCCAATAGTATGGCAAGTCCAAAGATCACGGGTCTGCACAGCGACATCCTTGAAGCCGCCCCCAGTTCTTAGTAGGGAATAAGGGAACAAAATCCCTATACCAGCTATAATCTAAACTCCTTAAAGTGGGTTCATCTAGGGGATTATATAGCAAATTACCATATGGGTTATTGAGGGGGACACTAGGGGTTTAGGCTATAGCTCATATATACCCTGTGTAATCGTGTAACCCTTATTTTCTACTGCTCGCCAGTAAGCGAAGCTGTCTGGTGCTGCCGGAGCTTGCCAGCCAAGGTTATGCTCTGATTCTTGAGATATGTATTGAGATTATCGTTCTGAGGAAGTTCATGTGGGTCTCTTGGCTGCAGAGATCAAAAAAATACATTTTTTGCGGCACTGGGTTATGAAATTCATTTTGCCAGCTTGGAAGCCAATTGGGTGGACAGACCCAAAAGATGTGAGTGGCGTTTCAGTCTGAAGAGTCTTCTCAGCCTGCAGATCAAAAGTCTACAGCAAAGGTTGCACAGCAGTCTGAAAGTTGGCTTACCATTCGTGTCCACGACGGCTTGAGTTTGTGGTTTAAGAGGGCTTCCACGTAGTTTGCCAAGACCTTGCCGGAGCAACTGAGCGAGTGAGGTCCCGATTAATCCGAGGACCCGATACTGAGTCTAAGGGAATTATATTGGGGATATGTGGGGGATAATTGAAAATGACATAGAAACTACTATAGGGTTATATGGGATTATATGTGTGGATATTGGGGTTATGTTCGGAATAATGGAAAATAAATTGGAAACCGCTATATAGTATAGTGGGGTTATACAGGGGGATATTGGGGTTATAGTTAAGGAAAAAGGAATATAACGCCTATATCACCCCTGTATATTATATATATATATATGTATATAGAGGGGTTTTCATAGGGCACAGAGCCCCCATTCCAGTTGGAGAATCTCGTGGAGTACTGGCAGGAAAGACATGCATGATCCCGTGTCTATTCAACATCGTATGATATACGGTAATATATTACATTATAGTATGATATAGTGTAAGATAGTATAAAATAGTGTCATGTAGTATGATCATTGAAGTGGTCGCTGGCGCCGGCCACGGCGTCGGCGTCGTGCTGGTGGTGGTGGTCGTCGTGGTAGCACCAATATCCCCCTATATAATCCCATATAACCCTGTAGTAGTTTCCATTTTATTTTCCATTATCCCCAGTATAACCCCAATAGTACCCTATACCCTAAGCCCTAAACCCTAATATCTGGAAGCTAAGGATTATGAGCTCGAGATGAGCCACTTTGCTCCAGTTGGAGTGGCCTGGCTGAGCGGTGTTCGTCTGAACAAGGGGGTTTTGTGTTGGTTGTTGGGTTTGGGTTTTAGGGTTTAGGGTTTTAGGGGTTTAGGGTTTTAGATTTAGGGTTTAGGGTTTAGGCTTGTTGCTGATGGTGCTGCTACTGCAGTTGATTCCTTGCAGCAGTATGTCGGGCGCAATTCTGTCAGTTGCATGATGAGTGCAAACGTAGTTGATTAATCGACACTTCTTTCCCCAGTCCTAACCCTGGACCAATACCAATCCCGACATTACTACTTACTCTAAGAGCTACGATGGTCACTATGCTGGTGCTGGTGCGACTCACCCAATGCTGTTTTTACCGCGGCTGCGACTTTGTGGCTATCCAAAGCCAATTCAGTGATTGAGCGCCTGCGTCAACTGCAGGGAAAGTTCCTGAACACAAACATCATCTTCTGGGGATCTGCCCTGGCAATTGGTAGTGCCCTGGCCGAATTAGGGATTGTTAGATCACCTCAGAAGCGGTCAGGAGCAGGTCAAACGTCACAAGCTCAGATGGGTGGTTGTCAAAATTATGGTCCCTTTTTGGGCACCCTAAATATTAGGTGCCGTAGTATAATAGGGACCTAAAAAGGGACCATAATTTTTACAACCACCCAGATGGTTTATGAAATTTCTTAGCAAAACTTGGAGGCAGCTTCAGCTGCAAGCTTACAGCTATGCTGGCTTGGCATGATCGGGTGCAGGTATAGTTGATACAGCCGCGTTCACCTTGCTCCCGGTGCCCATACGACCCTCTGCAGCAAGACATTGCAGGAATGAAGGTCCGTTTGAGGGCCTTCAGACTTTCTAAGCACAGGTGAGGCAGAATGGAGGCAGCTTGTGAGTTGCAAATCCGTGCAGCCAAGGATTGACATTTCTCTTCAGGACCGCTTTCATTTGAACAGGAGTTTTAAAAGAAATCTGTTTTGCACCGCAGTGATCCGCTGCAAGAGGACGCTGCGGATACTGTAGGCTGGGTGCGTGGGGGCTCACTGGTATCGGGAAGTAAGGTTGTGGCACGAATGCCATCACTAAGTATGGAGGCAAGTGGTAGCAGTGCCAACTGTTGACAGGCGATCCTCAACCCTGAACCTCTAAGCCCAGCCCGACCCTTAGCCGTAAACCCCAGTGCCCTCAAGCCCCAAGCCCAAGCCGGTAGTTGAAATGTTTCTGTTCCTGGCATTTGTGGCAACACATATCCTGACAAATTCATCTAGTGCATACTACTTCTCAGGTCTTTGTGTTGGAGTAGCTTGAGAGGAGCTTTTTCGGGATTGTGGTTCCTTTTGCATCCTTGAAAATCATCCTGATATAACCCTAACCCCATCATTGTCAAGCAATCTCTTTGATAAATGCCTTGATGGTCCAATTGTCATCAAGCCTGATCTGTTCTATCAACCCTGAACCCCAAACCCCCCTTCAAAATGCTGCTCTAAGCCGTGCGCTCCCCAACCATCCCTGAGCCCTAAGCCCTAAGCCCTAAACCCTAAACCCTAAGCCCTGAACCCTAAACCCTATAAACCCTAAATATCCACACCAGCAAAAGCAGGACGGGCCTTCTTTTTCTGCTTCCAGGCATGGGATGCTTGCCACTATGGGATTGCACATCTAGGCTTCCTCCTTACTGTAATAGGGTTTAGGGTTTAGGGGGGTAAGGGCCTTGCAAATAGGGGTCCAGAATTTCGAGGGCCCCCCAATGGTCCCTAAACCCTAAACCCCTAAACCCTCAACCCTAAACTGCCTTGGATTTTGTACCTCTGGGAAGGCGTCCAGTCCCTTTTCTCCAGCATCTTCAACCTGAAGGTCTTCACCGAGTCCCTGGGAGACTACTGTGGGATTAGGTTTAGGGTTTAGGGTTTAGGGTAGGATTTTGAAGCAACTGTGTAGACTTGTTGCACCCAGCGCTTGAAAACATGAGGAAGGCTGAAAAAAATCTCAGGTTCATGTCAATCTCCGTATTCCTGTGGGGTACGATGCTGCCAGCGCCTAAGTCTCCAGCCTGCCATCACATGGTGTCTTTCGAAAAGAGCAATCAATGCATGGCGCCCTGTAGATCAGTGCCATGACTTGGAGCTGTGCCTGCAAGATTCCTGCTGCTTTGGATGTGCAGATGAGCCGCGCAATGCCAGACGCCACATGCCAGTTTATGGCATATGCCTACGAACAGTATTGGCTCGAGGATGTGTTTTGTGTCAGGTTTCGAGCAGTTTCTGTCAGCCTCAAAGGGCAGACGGATCCGACCATGACGGGGAACGCAGCCATGTGCCGCATGATCATCATGTCCTGCTGTTGGAGCTTCCTTGCAGACTACCTGTGGGTACCAGCAGTGGCATATGCCAGGGATATTGGGCGTGGGCCCTCATTCCTGGGCTTGGCTTTCGCCCTCAACCTTGGGTCGCGGCTGATCCCCAACGTGGCCGTCACGAAGCTGGGGCTCAAGTCGGAGTTCATGATGATCGCGATGGCGGGGTGAGAAAGGGGGGGGGTGTTGAAATCCTGTTCAGGGCGACAAGTTGGCTTTCAGGGATGCCACTGACTCCCATGATGAAGACCTACAACTTTTGTCGCCACTGGGGTGCTCCTAAGTCCTAGTAGCCTATAGTGGTTTCAATATGCTGTTTCAGGATGCTGCCATCCTGTGTGGATTTGCCAAGGGGTATTTTTTTGCAAAAATTGGGTGCCCGGGGCCCTGGGTACTCTCCAAAATCTTGTATAGTGCCGTTTTGAGGATTCCTCATATAAGGAATGTGGTGGTCTTAAAGTACAGCCCCTAAAGAAGACCCACCCTCAAGTCTAAACCCTTAACCTCAAACCAAATAGAGCAACAGAAAGCGCAAATCAAGCAACCCCTCAAGGTCATTGCCGGTTATGCGACATCCTTCGCCTATCCAGCTGAGGCTTGGGCTTTCTGTCCCTTGGCTGCCGTTAGTGGGGAACAAGGGGATGCAATCCCTATATCATAGGGTTTAGGGTTTAGGTTTAGGGTTTGAGGAGGGAAGTAAAGGAATATAGGGGTAGAATATCGGGTTACACAGGGGCTTTATGGAGGCTATACAGTGGTGACATAGGGCCAATATAGGGGTAATGTAGGGATTAATTAGAGATTAGATAGGTATTATACAGGAATTGTATTGGGATTAGATTGGGACTAAATAGGGAGCATATTGGGATTAGATCCGGGTTATATTCCTTTCTTCCCTACTAACCACTAGTAAGTCGTAGTCATCACCCTAAACCCTAAATCCTAATCATTCTTAAAGCCTCCATTCGCAATAAGGGGGATACTAGGAGTTTAGAGTATGGCTCATATGCCTCTGTAAGCACTCTGGCAATGATATGAGTTGTACCCAGGCTTAAGCAGTATCAGTTTAATGTTGTTTGACACGTACGATTACTAGATAGCATTAGTCCTGCTTCTGCTATCACTCTTGTATTCATCATCATCCGTTTGCTGGCTGTGAAGAACGTTGTGCTTTCTGTTTTCTGTGGTTGAGTTATTTCGCTGCGAGCATACATAGCGGTAAAACAATGCAGATCTTATTTCGGGGTTCCCTATGATGACGATCTCTATAAATCGCCGGGATGTGTCAACCGCAAATATGATCTACAAAGATGAGGGAAGTCTTGAAGCAGATAACTGGAAAGCCCTTCAACCATACACCCTAAACCCCTAAGACGAAGCCCTTGCGCACGATACTGGTGTTGAGGTTTCATGGCCTTTTGCTCCGGATTTGGCTTCCTGAGAGTTTGCATGACGCTGCACACCCAGGCCGGTTCCGCAGATATGATGTAGCAAGTTACAACCTCCTACCTATTCCATTCTTTTCGCGATCCTAAGGGGGCCCTAAATCCAGCACTGCGTTCTGCCTCAAATTCCGGAGCAAGTCGAACCTTGCTGTGCCAAAATGTACGAAGCCTAAACCGCGAAACCCAAACGCTAAACCCTAAATCCTTAGCAGGTGACGTTCGGCCAGGATGCGGAGAAGCTGGGCAAAGCGTGCAAGTATGCCGGAGCTGCCAAGAACCTGGGTTGCTGTTAAAGAACCTCGTTTAAGTTACTATATTGGGGAAACCCTCCTAAGCCCTAAATAAGCTCCTTAATTTAAGTTCCTTAACAGCAAACCAGGAACTTGGGGAGCATTTCAGCCATGATCGTGCCCATAGCGCTGTACCAGCAGTGTGGCCGGGCCAGCATAGTTTTGGGTTTAGGGCTTAGGGTTTTCTACTCTAACTTATCGGGAGGGTAGGAGGTTTTACGGGAATTTGTTACATAGGGATGAGATGGGGATTATATATGGGGGTTATATGGGACTATACAGGGATTCTATTCCTTTATTCCCTACTAACCACCGCTAAGCAAGGAGGTTTGCTGCGATTGTATGCTGGCATTCCCTTGAATAGCTGGGGTAGGTACCTTGCTGCCTGCCAGCAGCGGGGGCAGGCACAGACAATGTCGAGAACGCACCAACACCCGCTGCTAGGTACTTCGAGGTACCTGTTACATTTAATGATGCTGTAAAGTAGTAGTGTCATATAGTTTGTGCTAGCGCCTACGCGCTTTGGCTCTTTGTTGGAGAGCCCTTGCAGGTAATCTTGTGCCAAGGAAAGGACATTCTCGGATGTTTGGGTTCACAGTTCACACGCGCTCACATTATGTGAAGGTTGAACTCTGCAGCTAGCTTCCTTGGTCCAGACCCATCTCTCGAGGGCTCAAAACCTGCGAATGTCAGGAAGAATGGTCATACTCTTACCTTGCGCTCTAGATGCGATAGGTTGTCAAAACTATGGGTCTGTTTCGGGTCCCCAGAATGATGGGCCCCCGCATTCTGAGCACACCAAAAGGAACTACAATTTTGACAGGCCTCCTTCGTACTACCATCATGCCCAAAGATCTGCCCAGGTGGCTGGAGGGCTGTTTGCTGCGGAGCTTTGTCCGCTGCGACTCTGTACTTCCTCCTGGCAGTTGTGCAGCACTGGCAAGCAACTGCTGGAGACGACAAGGCGTAGAACCAGCCTAGAACCAGCCTAGAAATCGAACTGGGGCTGACGAACGGTCCAGATTGATGCCAAACAATTGGGGGAAATATGTTCCGCAATTGTGTAGTACTGAAGGATGCCATCTTAAGATCGCGTTATGAGGCTTCAGGTTTCACCTTATTGCACATTTGGAAATGCTGTACACTCTTTTGCATGTGCGTGTTGCTTTTCCCCCTTGCATCAGGTGGAAGTGAGCTGTCCGAGCTCAGAAGTCTCCACATCAGAGGATCCCATTGCTTGGATCGACTGGATCATTGGCTTCGCCTTCATCATCACAGAGCTGCAGTACAATATCGGGAACGCTGCAATCCCCCAGACCCTGACAAAAACATTCGGGATGCCTGTCTACGCGGTGGGTCCACTCCTTGCCACTCTCAACGGGGTGTGCATGTGCTTTCTTGCGGCGCTACCTCGCCTTCCATGCATACTGTTGCACCGCAACCCTGTCAATATTGTGGCAGCATTTCTGTCAATCCTCCTGTCCTGGATCTTTGCCTCCTGTGCGGCATTCTCCCCGGAAGGGCTGCCTATGTTCGTGGCCAGCATCTTGCTTTTCATCCTGGCAGTAAACATGGCCCAAGTCCTTCTGTTGGAGTACTTGTCCAATGTCTTGGACGCCCAGGGATCTAAGAAGCTGCTGGGCTTCTCAGAAACCCTGGGTTGTGGCTTTGCCATGCTTGGTGGCTATCTTGGAAATGCTCTGGAAGTCTATGGGGATGCTGCCCCATTCATGATGCAACTGGGTCGCGGTCCCCTATAATGGAGAAGCAAACGGAAAAGAACATGGAACATGACATGGAAACTGCGGGAATATGGGGGTTTTAAGGAACTGAATTTAAGTTTTAATTGCTATATGTACCCATTATGGTAAGTTAATTAAAGTTCCTTAGATCCCTATATTCCCCCAGTTTCCATTTCATTTTCCATTTTCTATTCCATTTGATTCTCCATTGTAGGGGGAAAATCCTGTAACCCTAAACCCTAAACCTCATTATGGTAAGTTAATCAAAGGTCCTTAACAGCAACCTAGGCAATCGGTTGTGGCTTTGGTCACTGTGTCGATCCTGGGCGCCTGCCTTGGCCACCGCCACGTGACGCGCCGCCAGCTTCTGAGTACCGAGGACACTGGAGTTTAGGGGTTAGGGTTCAGGGTTTAGGGTTTTAGGGTTTAGGGTTTAGGGTACTTGTGCAACTCAACCAGCCTCTGCCACTGCTTTGGGTCAGAACATTTATTGGGATTCTGTGGGGAATAGTGGAAAAGCAAATGGACACTACTATACAGTATATTTGGGTTATATAGGGGTTATATTGGGATAATGGAAAAGGACATTGAAACTGCTACATGAACGAGCGAAGTTGGCCGGCAGGTTTCTTCAGCACCTGCTTCCTAGAGTTGAATGACTCGACTTTGTCGCAGTCATAATTGCGAGATGTCTGTGATAGCATAGCAGCGTGTCACCGCCGTCAGGAGAGGGAGGATGACATGGGCTATGACGTGGAGAGCTTGAGTGTCAAGAAGACGCTGCAGGAGCGTCTACTCTATAGCCCCTAAAAGAACCCATAATATCAACCCCTTCATGCTTATTGTCTTATATCATCCATGTATACCTTTAAATTGACCCTTAGTGCCTTCCAAGAATACACGGCAGGCTTGCGCGCAGCAAAGCTTTTTCGGTGTGAAGCTCATCGTCCGCTGTACGTCAGGAGACTTACTTGCAATCATTTCTACAAAGTCCTCATATATACCTTTTTATAACAGTCTCTATATTCACTCCCCCGCTCACCCCCAAGCGCTAGTAAGGAGACACCCTGGCAATTGCGGGGCCCTCAGCGGATTCCTTTTTGCAATGAAAAAGGCACATTCAGATCTCGTCGCACCCTTTGGACCTGCTACAGCCCGCAACTGAGGTGGAGTCCAAATACCGGAAGTCGCTCAAGGTCGGTTTGCCAAATTTGGCGGCACCTCTACTTGACGATTCGACGGATGGCTCCTCACTCTCGCGGTGTTCAAGCCATGGCAGCAGCGTGGACATTCACGACACATCAAGCGATTCCGACCCACATTCTGCAGACATGGTGTCTGAGTCTGTTCCTGGGCCTAGCTTACCTTGTTTGCCCTTTCGTTGAGCAAGCTCTGGAACGCAGCTTCAAACGCAGTGCTGTCTTGAGGCCTGAGCTCAAGCTTATGTATAGCTTATTTTTCCTCAGCGGCTGCAGAGCCCGATGAATGATCTCCTTGTGTCCTGACTGCATTATTCTTGTCAGAAACGGTTTCGTTGAACACATCTTCTACTACTACTACTACTACTACTACTCCTACTCCTCCTCCTCCTCCTCCTGCTTGCCTGCTGTTTGCTTGCTGCTGCTGCTTGCCTGCTTGCTGCTGCTGCTGCTGCTTGCTTGCTGCTGCTGCTGCTGCCGCCTGCTGCTTGCTTGTTGCTGCTCCTGCTGCTGCTGCTGCTGCTGGCTGTGGCCGTGGTGGCCGTGGTGGCCG